AAACCAGTACATATTCTCAGTTCTTTGTCAGTCTGAGTGGTGAAACAAGGTTTCTCACTCCTGCCATTTGTATTTCTCTGGTGACTCTTGATGACATCTTTCCATGTATTTAGAACATATTTGTACTTCGTTTGCACATTCTGTCCTTTATTTTCCTAATGACTGTCAAGAACTGTGACGTGAGTTTGCCATAGCTCCATGGCTGCTCATAGAAGACCCGAGACTCCCAAGTCAGGGACGAAGGGCAGTTTATTACCCCCAGCAATAGCAGTAGCAAGAGTATTAGTATTTGTGCCAGTTTTTCTTTCTTCTTCTCCTTTTTTTTTTTTTTTTTTGGTTTCTTTTTTGAGACAGGGTCTTGCTCTGTTGCTCAGGCCGGAGTGCAGTGGCATGATTATAGCTCATTGTAACCTTGAATTCCTGGGCTCCCAAGTAGCTTGGACTACAGGCATGTGCCATCAGACCTGGCTAACTTCCTTATTCTTTGTAGAGACAGGGTCTCACTATGTTGTCCAGGCTGGTCTCAAGCAGTCCTCCCACCTTGGCCTCTCAAGGTGCTGGGATTACAGGCATGAGCTACCACACCTGGCCCCAGCCCCTTTTTCTAAGCCCGTTTCCACAGGGCGAAATGAAGAAGGCCAGATGACACCGACACATGCACTGCAGTGCACGATATTAATAGAACCCTGAGCATAGGGAGCTTAAATCTTTTATAATGCATCATAGGCCTGCCTTCCCTTTGTTCCAGAAGGAGACGCTTGCGCGCGCGCTCTCTCTCTTTTTTCTGAGATGAAGTGTTGACCCGTCACCCAGGCTGGAGTGCAATGGCATGATGTTGGCTCACTGCAACCTCCGCCTCCCGGGTTCAAGCAATTCTCCTGCCTCAGCCTCCCGACTAGGTGGGATTACAGGCATGCACAACCACACCCAGCTAATTTTTTGTATTTTTAGTAGAGATGGGGTTTTACCATGCTGGCCAGCCTGGTCTTGAACTCCTGACCTCATGATCTGCCCACTTTGGCCTCCCAAAGTGATGGGATTACAGGTGTGAGATACCACGCCTGGCCAGGAGACACAATCTCTCTTCCAAGATCATTCATTAAACAAAATCCTTCAAAAGACAAGTCTGGACAAAGGCAGTCAGTGCTCTCCAGTCACGTGAGAGACCCATGAAAAACTGTCTCCCAAGATCAGGTTGTTTATATAGTTGTTATTTATTTATAGAAGCTCTTTGCATATTAGCAATATTAACTCTTGATATACAACTTATAATTTCCCCCAGACTTTTCGTCCTTGCCTTTATTTACAACTTTGTGTGTGTATGTAGAGGGGAAGTACAAAGGTTTAAAATTAGTTTAATTAATTAATTTTTTTTAGATACAGGGTCTTGCTTTGTTGCTTAGGCTGGAGTGCAGTGGCAAAATCATAGCTCACTGTAGCCTTGGACTCCTGGGCTCAACCAATCCTCCTGCTTCAGCCTTCCAAGAAGCTGGGACTGCAGGTGTGCACCACCATGCGTAGCTAAGTGTAAAACTTTTTTTCCTTTTTTTTTTTTCTTTTGTAACAGAGTTGCACTCTTGTTACCCAGGCTGGAGGGCATTGGTGTGCTCTTGGCTCACTGCAACCTCCATCTCCGGGGTTCAAGCAATTCTCCTGCCTCAGCCTCCTGAGTAGCTGGGATTACAGGCATTTACCACCACACCGACTAATTTTTGTATTTTTAGTAGAGATGGGGTTTCACCATGTTGGCCAGGCTGGTCTCAAACTCCTGACCTCAGATGATCCACCCGCCTCAGCCTCCCAAAGTGCTGAGATTACAGGTGTGAGCCATCATGCCCAGCCTAATTGTTAAAACTTTTAATAGAGACGAAGGTCTTGATATGTGGGGTGCTGGGACTACAGGTGATAAATTATTTATTTATTTAGATACAATTGTTTATTTATTTAGATACAGGGTCTCACTCTGTTGCCAGAACGGAGTGCAGGGGCACGATCTCGGCTTACTCCAACCTCTGCTTCCCAGGCTCAAGACATTCTCGCATCTCATTCTCCTGAGTAGCTGGGATTAGCATGATGGCACATGCCTGGCTAATTTTTATATTTTTAGTAGAGAGGGGTTTTCACCATGTTGCCCAGGCTGGTCTTGAACTCCTGAGCTCAAGTGATCTGCCTGCTTTGGCCTCCCACAGTGCTGGGATTATAGGCGTGAGCCATGGCGCCCAGCCAACAGGTGTCATTTCTGAGTCACATTTATTAATATTTTCCCCCACAATTTGTGACCCTGCCTTCATATTTAGAAAAGCTGTCCCCTTTCTAGAATTAAAACATTTTACTTGCTTTTATGCTTTTTTTTTTTTTTTTTTTTTGAGAAAGGGTTTTGCTCAGGTGGGAGTGCAGTGGCACGATCTCAGCTCACTGCAACCTCCACTTTCCAGGCTCAAATGGTCCTCCCACCTCAGCCTCCCAAGTAGCTGTGACTAAAGGCTCATGCCACTACACCCAGCTAATTTTTGTATTTTTTGTAGCGATGGGGTTTCACCATGTTGTCCAGGTTGGTCTCAAACTCTCGGCTCAAGCAATCTGTTGTCCTGGTCTCCCAAAGTGCTCTTATAATTTTACTTTTCCCATTAAGTGTTTGATATCTCAGATGTATTTTAGTGTAAAGAGTGAAATTAGGATTTGATGCTTACATTTTTACCCCAAGGGTGGGGAAAGTAGTCTCCAACCTTATGAACTGAAGCATGCCGGGGCCACCATCATAGGGTTTTGCAAAGCTTAAGTTTTATGTTAGGGTCTTAGGAAAGCTTTGAGAATGTCAATTCCAGCTGGGTGAGGTGGCTGACACCTGTAATCCCAGCACTTTAGGAGGCCGAAGCGGGCGGATCATCTGAGGTTAGGAGTTCAAGACCAGCCTCACCAACATGGAGAAACCCCATCTCTGAAAAAAATTCAAAATTAGCCAGGTGTGGTGGTGCATCCATGTAATCACAGCTACTTGGGAGGCTGAGGCAGGAGAATTGCTTGAACCCAGGATAACAAGAGCGAAACTCCATTTCAAAAAAAAAAGAGAGAATGTCAAAAATAAATAAAAAAGAAACAAAAAAGAATGTCAATTCCCTGGGAATGGCTTATTTTAAGGACTTGGATACTGTTGAGAAGTTCTGTTTGGGATGGTTTGCTCCTTCAAGTCTTTGGGGATCTTTGGTAGGTAGGAAGGGTTTCATGGCATCTTTGCTAGGTCGTTATTGCAGAGTTTCTGGTACTGACCCCTATTGTGGCGCCTCGGAGATGCTGAACTTGTCCTCATGTCCTGTTTGGGTAAGTCTGTTACAGAGGGTCTCCAGGAAGGCCAGCCTCCTGACTCTCAACATCTTCTTACCCTACAGCATCCCTCTTCGCCGAGTCCATCCCGGACGCAGGACCCTGAACCTACTGAGGGGATGGGGAAAACCAGCAAAACTCCCCAGGTTGGGGGCCCCATCCCCTGGGGACAAGCCAGGCTTCGTGCCTCTCTCCAAATTCCTAGATGTGAGTCACAGCCCCACACAGCCCCCACCCCAGTGCCCTCAAGTCAAACTCTTCATTGACTCGTCTCCTCTTTTTTTCATCAGGCCCAGTATTTTGGGGAAATTGGGCTTGGAACGCCTCCACAGAACTTCACTGTCACCTTTGACACCGGTTCCTCCAACCTCTGGGTCCCATCCAAGAGATGCCACTTATCCAGTGTGCCCTGCTGTGAGCTTCTATGCGAGAGAATAAGGCTGAATGGGGGTGAAGGGAGGAGGCAGGGCTGGACCTCAGCTTTCCACAGGTTTTTTTTTTTTTTTTTTGAGACGGAGTTTCACTCATGTTACCCAGGCTGGAGTGCAATGGCGCGATCTCGGCTCACCGCAACCTCCGTCTCCTGGGTTCAGGCAATTCTCCTGCCTCAGCCTCCTGAGTAGCTGGGATTACAGGCACGCACCACCATGCCCAGCTAATGTTTTGTATTTTTAGTAGAGACGGGGTTTCACCATGTTGACCAGGATGGTCTCAATCTCTTGACCTCGTGATCCACCCGCCTCGGCCTCCCAAAGTGCTGGGATTACAGGCTTGAGCCACCGCGCCCGGCCTTCCACAGGTTTTTGAGAAACTGTTCTTTTCTGACACTCTCACAGGTCAGGTCAAAGGGGAAGAAGGCATTGGGAAGGCTCCCCTCCCCCAGTGACACCTCTCTGACTTCTGCCTAGGGTTCCACCACCGCTTCAATCCCAATGCCTCCAGCTCCTTCCAGCCCAATGGGACCAAGTTTGCCATTCAGTATGGAACTGGGCGGGTAGATGGAATCCTGAGTGAGGACAAGCTGACTGTGAGTGACTTTTGACTGCAGGAAGCCTTGAGCCTGGGAGAACCCCATTGTCTAAGATCATCTGGCCTAGGGAGGGACTTGAGGTGGAGGGGCTTCCGGAGCAGATGGCTGGGGCTTCTCAAGGAAGGGGAGGAGTTCCTGGGTGAAGGGGTAGGAATTCTCTCAAGTCCAGAGGCAAAGCTTGCCAAGCGGGAGGGTTTGGGTCCAGATGTCTCCAGACCTGGAATTCATGCCTTGGTTTGAAAGACCTCAGGACATGTGGGTTATTGTCCTCCCAAAAGTAACTGACCCTAAATTCAATCTACTCCTAGATTGGTGGAATCAAGGGTGCATCAGTGATTTTTGGGGAAGCTCTGTGGGAATCCACCCTGGTCTTCACTGTGTCCCGCCCCGATGGGATATTGGGCCTCGGTTTTCCCATTCTGGCTGTGGAGGGAGTTCGGCCCCCGCTGGATGTACTGGTGGAGCAGGGGCTACTGGATAAGCCTGTCTTCTCCTTTTACCTCAACAGGTACTGGGAAGGGTGCACCTTTCTATGAGTCCTGTCCCCAAGAAGGAAGTGAGGCTTCCTTCAGGAAGTGTCTTATTCCATAGAGAAAGCCGCAGTTTGGGAGCAGTGGCTCATGCCTGTAATCCCAGCACTTTGGGAGGCCGAGGCAGATAGACCACCTGAGGTCAGGAGTTCCAGACCAGCCTGGCCAACGTGGTGAAACCCCGTCTCTACTAAAGATACAAAAATTAGTCAGGTGTGGTGGCATGCACCTGTAATCCCAGCTACTCTGGAGGCTAAGGCAGGAGAATCGCTTAAATCTGGGAGGTGGAGGTTGCCATGAGCCAAGATTGCACCACTGCTCTCCAGCCTGAGTGACAGAGAGTCTGTCTCAAAAACAAAATTGCAACCTTCCTTCAGGAAGTAGTCACCCAACTGAAGAAACATCTTAACCCTATTCATAAGTCCCAGAGCTTAAGTGACAATTTAAGATGTACTAAAGAAACTCACCATCGGTTCAATATACTGTTTCAAAATCAAACCAGAAGTTTTTTTTCTTTTTGAGAGGGTGTTTCACTCTGTCAACCAGGCTGGAGTGCAATGGTGTGGTCTTGGCTCACTGCAAGCTCCCAAAATGCTGAGATTACAGGCGTGAACCACTGTGCCCGACCAAACTAGGAAATTCTACGTGCCACCAACCAAATACTCAGAAACCTTCTCTTCACTATAAAGAGAGCTCATATCCCATTTGAGAACACTGACCAGAAGTCAAGAATTGCCTGATTTAATTCAGCAAGCCCCACCCACCTGGGAGGAAGTTCAATCTTATGCTCAGAAGTCCCATCCACCATCCAAGAAGTCTTCACTTTCCTTCCCAGAGGGCCATCACACACAGTCCTATGCCCACTGGGTTACTCTGACATCCAACCCATTCAAGAAGTCCCATCTAGCTCTTGGTAGATCTCACAAACTTATATCTTCCAGGAAGTTCCCATCCCCATTCCCATCATTCTCAGTCAGCACAGGAAGTCTAACACATCCTCTAGACAGTGTTCAATGCACACTCTGAATGAGGAGACCACCTAAACAGGCTTTGTGGGAGTAACATGGCTGTTTACCCACCCGGGTGTGGGCAGGTTGATTCTGAAAAGAGAGTCAGCGGACGGCGGTGGGACAGGAGTTGGTTTTATAGGTTTGGGGTAGGCAGTGGAGAGTTACAGAAGTTACAGTTCAGGGCGGTTTTTGCAAGCCAGGAGGGGGTCGTAGGGTCTGGAGTCATGAGATTGACCAAAGTTGGTTACAAAGTCCAGGTGGAAATAAGGAACAATAGAAGAATATCTCAAAGTCAATTAGGCGTCGCAGGGGTTACTCATTCTTCCCCTTTTTGTGGTTTTCCAGTTACTTCAGACTTTCTAGTTCCAGGAACTCATCTGGAGTGTACGTGCAGGTCACAGAGTTACCATGCCGTCCACGGCACAGTTGGCCTAAAAGACCTTACAGATACCACAACAGGCAATTCAGAAAGTCTCTCTGCCTTCCCAGGAAGCCACCCCACTCCTGCATGAGTCACATCTTCAAGAGCCGATTCTGAGACTTCTTCCCTGGTCTGCTTGGTTACTATAATATTCAGCTCAGGAAATTCCCCCAAAAGCTCTACCTTCCACAGCCAAGTGAAGTCTCTTCTCCACTTCAGGCAGTACCCATCATCCTAAAGTCCTAACTTCAATCAAGACAAGAACCATCTCCCTTCATTTCTTGTTTCTAGTCTCAACATCTAGGCCCTGACTGTATTCCCCTCCCCAACCCAAAACCCCTAAACTGACCCAATTGGCAGGAAGTCCCATCCCTGGCCATTGCTAGGGCTGGCAGGGGGAGGGCCAGTGACACTGACCTCTATGCTCTGCCCCTGCAGGGACCCTGAAGTGGCTGATGGAGGAGAGCTGGTCCTGGGGGGCTCAGACCCAGCACACTACATCCCACCCCTCACCTTCGTGCCAGTCACAGTCCCTGCCTACTGGCAGATCCACATGGAGCGGTGAGGGACTTAGTCTCCTGGGTCTGGAGCTGGAGGCTGGGGGCCTGGACTCCTAGGAGCCTGCCTCTAATGACTGCCTCCTCCCCTCTCAGTGTGAAGGTGGGCCCAGAGCTGACTCTCTGTGCCCGGGGCTGTGCTGCCATCCTGGATACAGGCACACCTGTCATCATAGGACCCGCTGAGGAGATCCGGGCCCTGCATAAAGCCATTGGGGGAATCCCCTTGCTGGCAGGGGAGGTGAGGTTACAGTCTCTGGTGGGTGTATCCTGGGGAAGATGATGGCAATTTGATGACGAACACTGGGGCCTGAGGGTGGGAAGCAGTTAGCTAGGGTGTATCCAGGACAGAGGGGACTGGGCTGCTGCTGCTTTTTTTTTTTTTTTTTTTGAGACAGAGTTTTGCTCTTGTTGCGCAGGCTGAAGTGCAATGGCATGATCTCGACTCACTGCAGCCTTTGCCTCCAGGGTTGAAGCGATTCTCCTGGCTCAGCCTTCCAAGTAGCTGGGATTACAGGTGCCCACCACCACGTCCAGCTAATTATTTTTGTATTTTTAGTAGAGACGGGTTTTCACCATGTCGGCCAGGCTGGCCTGGAACTCCTGACCTCAGGTGATCCACCCACCTTGGCCTCCCCAAGTGCTGGGATTACAGTCATGAGCCACTGCACCCAGCCAAAGGACTGGGCTTCTTAAGTGACATGCTGGAGAGTGGCAGGAAGAAGCAAAGGTACTTCCCAAGTGTCTATGCTGAGTGGCTCAGTGGATGGTGAAGCAGAGATGGGAGTGGGGGTGGGTGGAAGATGATAATGCAGTTTTGTTTGGGACTAGATGAGAGAAGCCCAGGCAACAGAGCTGTCCACACACGGTGCTGAATACCCAGGTGCTCCATATGTACATTACAGACAGGATTTGAGCAGTGCAGGAATCTCTCATCTTAACTTGTTCCTCTTCTTCCCCAGTACATCATCAGGTGCTCAGAAATCCCAAAGCTCCCCGCTGTCTCCCTCTTCCTTGGGGGGGTCTGGTTTAATCTCACCGCCCAGGATTACGTCATTCAGGTAGGTGTCCGTCACCATGACGCCACAGTGATGTAATATGACTGGGGTTGAGAGGGTGGAGCTGGGAGTTAATCATCACTAGGACGGGAAGGGGCCACAGAATCATCTCTTGTCCCCGGGGTTGGGGACGGAGGGAGCACAGACTCCCAGGGAAATGGTGGTCCCTGCGGCCGCGACACCCAGTTGCCGCCTTGCCGCCTTGCAGTTTGTTCAGGGTGACTTCCGCTTCTGCTTGTCCGGCTTCCGGGGTTTGGACATTCCTTCGCCTCCAGGACCCATGTGGATCCTCGGCGACGTCTTCTTGGGGGCGTATGTGGCCGTCTTCGACCGCGGGGACATGAAAAGCGGCGCCCGAGTGGGCCTGGCGCGCGCGCGCACTCGCGGAGCTGACCTGCGAGGGGGACAGGCAGCTCAGGCGCAGTTCCACGGGTGATACCCAGGCGTTGCGCATGCGCAGCGGGTAGCAACGCTAACGCTACTCAATAAAATCCAGTATTTCCATTGAACAAACCTGCCTAGGTTTCTTCTTTTCCGAGCGTACTTTTTGAAGAGAAAACTTTGTGCATGTACCCACGGAGTTGAGGAAGAGAGGGAGGCAAAGGGTATCATCCCTTTTCTCCAGGGCGCACCTCGTTGAGGGGTCTTGTACTACGAGTCCCATGAAGCCCCTCGCCTACGCTGCCTTTCGTCAAAGGCTCCCGGCGCCGCGGAGCATCACGGTCGTTGTAGTCCACGCCGTGGCCACGCCCTAACGGGGGCGGGCGCAGCCACAACATGCGTGGGAGGCGACGGGTCGCGATGGCAGCGACAGGTGGCAGTGGGGGGTGGATGTAATCGGTACGGGTTTACCAGTTCCTGTTCTAAGGGGCGGGGATAGCATTCCCTCGGACCTCATCTCCTGTTTCTCCTCTCTCCCTTGGGATTTAAGGACCCCGGGGTCCGCCATAAAGGCGGAGCTTGAAGCCCCTGGGTTGGGGGAGCGGTGCTGCCCCTCCTCCGGCGGTGATGTCACCCCCCCTCCTCAGCCTCTTGCTGCCCAGAGCTGCCGGGGCTGGGTCACCCCTCCCCCTATCTCGAGTCCCGGATTCCCCCATCCCCGCCTCGCCTCGACTTGGGGTGAGTACGGGGAAGGGGGCGAAGGCTCAGGGTCCGCGGGCGGTAAGACAGCCCGAATCCTAGTTTTGGAGGCGGGAGACTTCGGATCCAGGGACCCAAAGATTATGGCGGAGAGATTCCCCTCGACTCTGAGCTTTTGGGGGCCAAGCTACTTGCAGCGTCTTGGGGGAGGAAGGATCGTAGGCAGGGAGTCCTCACATTTTCAGCCTTGGGGTCCGGAGACCAAGGCTCCGAATGGAACCGGCAGAGGAATAAGGAACGTGTCCTAGAAGTCAGGGAGGGGAAGGCTCTTCCCCACTTCCAGGGCCTGGGGGAGAGAGGGTTGTCAGGGGACGCCGAGGATGACGGGAGATGGGAGTTGGAGCTTTCAGGAATTTTGTGCCTCGAGGGCCTGGGAACGGATGGATTGGGGAGGAGCACGGGTGGGAAAAGGAACTGAAAACGCGGACAGACGTTGGCCTCTCCCCTCCTGGTGTCCCTAGTCAGGAGTCGAGGCTACTTCCTGGTCTGTGAACATAGCTGAGGGTCCAGTATTTGGAGCCCTCATGATGCTTCCAGAAGCCCCCTCCTCTCTAATAGGTGGGTGGGGACTCCAGGCTCACACATCCTCCCACAGACCCTGGTGGGGTCTATCGAGGGCCATGAGGGAATGCCGGTATCCAAGTTTCCCAGGGCCTGATGGAGTGTGGACCAGCCTGCTACCCAGCCCGCTGCCTCTTCCCCTCCCATGGCCCCTTATCCTGAGTCGCATCGCACATTGCTTCTTATTCTAGTCCCTTTCCCCCACAGCCCCTGCCTTCTCCCATACCTTCTGACCTCTGCAAAAAAAACGCTGATTTGGTCACTTGATCCTGTGCCTGGCTTCTGTCTAAAGCAGAAGGGAAAAGCAGGGTTGAGGGGAGAACATGGAGGAGGAAGGCTGACCCAGGTCCTTACCTAGCCTCTAGTGCATATCCAGCCCCTGCTCTCGCCCCCACCACCCCACCCCCAATTGCCCAGGAGCCTCACCCAGCCCCAGCTCAGTCCATCACCTCAGGATTCGCTGCTTCTGCCGGGGGGTGCACCAGAATTCGGGGCAGGAAGTACCTATGTCTTTTCTCTGCCCTCTTGGGTCCCATCAGAAGCTGGAGGACATGGTGGATTGGTGCAGTGGAGAGCCCCGGGTCTGGGGAGTGAGGGCAACGACCTTCCTGGGCTGCAGGACAGGCCCCACTTCTGCAACTCTCTGCAGTGACGCAGTCCCAGCCAGGACGGGGGTTAGAGGGGATGTTGGGGGGGGCTGAAAGGGATGGAGACCCAAAGAGAGGGGGACAGGGTCCCCAAGAAGTAGAAACAGAAACCTAGAACGAGAGAGCAAGAGACCCAGACGGTGAAACATAGGAACAGAGACCCAGGGAGGGGACAGAGAGAACGTGAAGGGGCACAGACTTAGAGGGAGAGAGAGAAGGACAGAGCCAGCAAGAGAAAGAGCAGAGACAGAGGGGGAAAGGGACGGAAGAGGGGGAAATACACCAGAGACGGGGAGAGGGAGGGAAAGGGGAAAGAGGCTGTCAGAGAACAAGGAAACAGACTCAGGTGAAAGGGCAGAGACCCAGAGAGGAGGCAGGACAGAGCGGGGTGCAGTGGGGGGAATAGAGGACAGGAACACAAAAAGAGGGACAAAGACCTAGGAGGTGGGGTACAGAGCCCCAGACAGTCACCCCTGAGAAAAATGGTACAAAGACGAAGAGAAAGAGACTCGGGGGAGCTGGGGTGGGGGCGGGGACTGAGACACTGGGGAGCAGAGACTGAGTCCTAGAGAGAAGAGGGGCAAAGACTCAGAAGGAGGGGGACGGAATCAGAGACCCAGAAGGAGGGCCGACTTACAAACGAGGGGCTGGGGACTCAAGGGTGGGGACAGAGGCGACGGCACAAACACTCAGAGAAGGGAGAAAAAGAGACACCAAGAGACCCAGAAACGGGAGCGGGGTGGGGTGGGGAGGCGATACGAACCGGCCGCCGCACCTGCAGCGGGAGGCGGAGGACCAGGAACTGAGCGGGCGCCCCCTGACCCACCCTCTTCTTCCCGCAGGCGCCGCCCCCTCCCTCTGCAGCCGCAGCCGCAGCCGCAGCCGCTGGCCCCGCCCCCGCCCCCGCCCCCGGCGCCTGCGCCTGCGCCCTGCTTCCCGGCGCTTAGGACCGCCCAGGGGGTGGGTCCTGCCCGCTCCGAGGCGGTCCCTTTTCCTGGCCCGGCCCCTAATTCGCCACCGCCTCCTCCCCCGGACCTGACCTCTCAGACTCCTAGCCCACTCCATTTTTTACTGGTCCTGCCTATTGCCTCTGTCTTGCCAGTTCTTCCTAGCGCTTTTTCCTATCCCCTCTCCCGTCCTCTCTGCCTCCTTGCGTGACCCCTCCTCACCAGTCCTCATCTACCCTCGGTCCTCCAATCTTCAGTCCTTCACAGGGTAGCCTACGTTGGAAGTTCTCACCCCCCTCTTTGAGGACCCCGTGACCTTTAGGCAGTGCCCTCTCCCAGGTCCTCTGATCCCCGACTCCCCGTTCCAGGTCCCTCCCTTCCATCCAGCCCAGTAGCTTTGTACTCTTTGCAGTCCCACTGTTCCTCTGGGACCCACCCTCCCTTAGCCCTGCCCTGCTCTCGCCTGCCCCGGTTGCTTTAAGCCCCTCACAGCCCCGCTCCTCCCTTAGTCTCTCCTTCCTACCGCCCATTCAAGTCTTTTTATCTTTTCTTTTTCTTTTTTTTGAGACAGAGTTTCTGTCGTCCAGACTGGAGTGTAGTGGTGCAATCTCGACTGCAACCTCTGCCTCCTGGTTTCAAGCGATTTCTCCTGCCTCAGCCTCCCGAGTAGCTGGGACTACAGGCACCCACCAGCACGCCCGGCTAATATTTGTATTTTTAGTAGAGGCGGGATTTCACCATTTTGGCCAGGCTGGTCTCGAACTCCTGACCTCAAATGATCCACCCACCTCGGCCTCCCAAAGTGCTGGGATTACAGGTGTGAGCCAGCACGTCCGGCCTCAAGACGTTTTCTATTTGTCAACCCCCACTCACCTTCCTCAGTTCCACCCATCCATCGGGACACATCCTCCGGACCTAGCCCCGACTAACCAGGACCACCTTGCACCCTCAGCCCCGCCCCTCTTTACTGGCCCCTTCCTTTAGGCCTATCCAGACGCTCTCAGGTTTTCAGGCCTCTCTCAAGTCTGCACGCCTTCTGACCGAGTCTAAGTCTTTGTTCTCCTCCCCCGTCCCCTTTCAGTCCAGCCTGTTCCCCTTGCGCGGGAAAGTCCTGCGTCTCTAGTTCCCGCCCCAGAGCAGTCTCATCTACACTGTTACTACTTTCTGCGGCCCTGCCCCTTCCAAGCAATGCTCCTCCCCACCAGGTCCTGCCTAGCGGTGTTTTAGGTGGGGGCGGGCCATCTCTTTTTTTTCTCTCCACCCCTTCCTCAGTCCAATCAGGACGGCCGCTCTCATGGTGGCCCAGCCTCTCCACGCCAGTCGGGTTCCTTTAAATAACTTTGACTTGTCCCCACCTCCCTCTGCCCCACCCGCACTTTTTCAGCTCAATCAGGTCTCTCTCTCGTATCTAGTCCCGCCTTGCCCCTGCTCCCAGTGCCCCCGAACACAATTAGTAGTAACCGGTCCCGCCTCCTTTGACGCCACGCCCCGCCCCTCCGCCCTTTCTCTCTTGGAAAGAGCCAATCGCTGTGTCTCATTGGCGGCCCCGCCTCGTCCAGCTGGGTCGCGTTAGAGTCCCCGCCCCGTTCCTCCCGGCCACAGCCCCGCCCCACCTCCCCCAGCCCAATCAGTTGGAGTTGTCTCCCAGAAGCCACGCCCCCTCCACCTCGCTCCTCCTCCCACCCAATCCCGTCGGCCTCTCTCCCTGCGTCCCCGCCCCCTACGTCCCCGCCCCTCCTGCCCCGCCCACCGTTCAATGCTGAGCTCAGTCTGCGTCTCATCCTTCCGCGGGCGCCAGGGGGCCAGCAAGCAGCAGCCGGCGCCACCGCCGCAGCCGCCAGAGTCCCCGCCGCCGCCACCGCTGCCGCCGCAGCAGCAGCAGCCTGCGCAGCCCGGCCCCGCCGCGTCCCCGGCGGGCCCCCCGGCACCCCGCGGGCCCGGGGGCCGGCGCGCCGAGCCATGCCCCGGGCTGCCGGCGGCGGCCATGGGGCGGCACGGCGGCGGCGGTGGCGACAGCGGCAAGATCGTGATCAACGTGGGCGGCGTGCGCCATGAGACGTACCGCTCGACGCTGCGCACCCTGCCGGGGACGCGGCTGGCCGGCCTGACGGAGCCCGAGGCGGCGGCGCGCTTCGACTACGACCCGGGCGCCGACGAGTTCTTCTTCGACCGGCACCCGGGAGTCTTCGCCTACGTGCTCAACTACTACCGCACCGGCAAGCTGCACTGCCCGGCCGATGTGTGCGGGCCCCTGTTTGAGGAGGAGCTCGGCTTCTGGGGCATCGACGAGACCGACGTAGAGGCCTGCTGCTGGATGACCTACCGGCAGCACCGCGACGCCGAGGAGGCGCTCGACTCCTTCGAGGCGCCCGACCCCGCGGGCGCCGCCAACGCTGCCAACGCCGCGGGCGCCCACGACGGAGGCCTGGACGACGAGGCGGGCGCGGGCGGCGGCGGCCTGGACGGAGCGGGCGGCGAACTCAAGCGCCTCTGCTTCCAGGACGCGGGCGGCGGCGCCGGGGGGCCGCCAGGGGGCGCGGGCGGCGCGGGCGGCACGTGGTGGCGCCGCTGGCAGCCCCGCGTGTGGGCGCTCTTCGAGGACCCCTACTCGTCGCGGGCTGCCAGGGTGAGCGCGCTCTCGGGGCCCCCATCCACCCTACCCCCGTCTCTCCAGGCGCCCCTAGACTCCCAGGAGCGTACCAGCCCCACCCCTCTGGGTCTCTTTAGGCTTCTCAGTCTCCTAGAAGCTTCTTCCCCAATCCTGAGACTCCTGGGCTCCTCCGAACACACCCCCATCTCACAGTCATCCCCCAGATACTCCAAAGACCAATTTCCAACCTTCAGGCTCTTCCAGACCCCTCCAAACCTCACCCCGGCTCTCCAGGCCACCCTAGACCCTTAGACACGTCCTCCAGACCGTGAATCTCTCCGTGCTTCTCTGAATAACCCCACCCCCAACTTTCCTGGGCCCCTCTGAGACCCTCCCCAACCCTCACCTCTCCTGGGCCCCTCCAAACCTCTTCCTACTACTCTTGGCCACCGTCTAGCCCTCGGTTTCTTGGACCTTCCCCAAAACCTCAGAAGACATCTCTTCTCAGCCCTCAAAGTGTCCTAGGCCCTGTGAACACTGTCCCCCACTTTCCTCGCTTTCTCCCGACTCTCAGGGCCCCCTCTTCAACTCTCAGTCTCTCCCAGCATCTCCCTGATTCACCCCGTGGCCCCTCTCCCAGAACACCTCGCTGTCCAAGTTTGAATCTCCTGATTATTTTTTCCACCCCTCTTCTGCTCTCAAAGTCTCATCAAGCCCCCCCACCCTAACCTCATAGCCTTCTGACTCCTCTGAACCTCCACTTGCTCTTGCCTGGACATTTTCACCTCCCCCTCGCTGCAGCACTGAGTCTGCTGGAACCTCTGGGCCCCCTCTGTCTTCACTCTGTTCAACACTGCTCTTGCAACCTCCACGCCAACTCCCATCCCAAGGACTTTCCCCATAAAGCTCCAGACCTCCCCCAAGCCTTTCACACTCCTCCTCGGTGTCTCCAGAAGCATCCCATGCCCCCATCATATGCCTTTTCTCTCCAGAACCCTCATATGTCCTCCAGAATTGCTCTTCCTCTTCCATAGATCCTTACAGCTTCTCCCCTTCATCATTTTAACTGCACAGTTCACTCTCTACCCCTGCGACTCCCCCCACTCCAAAGCCCCCACAGCCTCTTTCCTAGCCTAAGTTACTTGCCTCCCTGCTCTAGAACTTTTTCTAACCTCAAACCCTGGGACACCCCTCAAGTCATCAGCCCAAAAACTTTCATCTCAGAATAGCTTCCAATTATTTCTCCGTTGCCTTGGTATTCCTTCCACCTGCCCTCTTCTTTTCTAGAACCCCCACTGTGCAAAACTCAGAACCCAGCCTCTCAGCCTGTCCCCCTCCATCAAAGTGAACTAAAGAGCCTTCTCTCTCTCCAAATTCCAGATTTTTCCCAAAGTTCTCTCCATCGCTCCCAGAAAACTCCTCAAGCATCCATAACTTCCTAGGCTAAATGACTACCCTCCCCCTGGGTTCTCTCCTGAACCTCTTCCTCCTACTAACTTCCTCCCTGTCCCGGAGACTCTGGAGAGAGAATGTGGTGGAAAAGAGAGGGGCAGTGCAAAATGGGGGCAATTGGAAATGGGGAAAATAAGAGCGATCCCAGGACCCACTCCTGGGCTCCTGGGGACCCAAACACCCAGGGGAGCAGGTCTTGGCTCCCTCCCCCCACCGTGCCGCGTCCTGAGCCGGGAAGGACGCGGAGCCGCAGTGCCGCATTCGCGCCGGGGGAGGGAGGGGGGCGCCTGAAACCACCGCATAAAGTTTGGTCCCCAGAAAGCGCTGAGTTGGCGAGATTTAGGGTTGGATAGGGGGAGGTGGAGAAGAGGAGGTGCGGAAGGGACATGGCCCTAGATGCCCACTCAAGACATTGAGAGGCTCCTTCCCCCATGGCCTGGGGCGCCCTTCTTTCCTGTGACCCCATTGAAGGATGCTGAGGTGAGAGGCGGGATGAAGGTAGAGTTCTTCGGTGATGATCAAGGTTCGGGACAGTTACGCAGGTCATTCATTTACTCTACAAATGTGTTTTGGGTGTTCATGGTGTGCCGAGCCCTTACCAGTCTCCCAGTGACATGGCTTGAGAGAGTTGGGAGCTGAGGCCAAAGCAAACTGGAGGGTCCGATCCTACAGCCCCCTGCCCCCGACCCCTTCCCCGTAATCACTCCTTTCCTTCTTATAGGGACTCCAAGCCCTCCTACCCCTTCTGCTTTTGAGCCACCTTGGGGTAAGGGGTTAAACCAGCCCGACGCCATCCAGCCTCTGCAGCTGCGCACTGCGGCGCGTGCCCACTTTTCCCTGTGCCCTGGGAGGGCAGGAGTTAATCAGACTTCTGGCCCGAGGCCTCCCGCCGGAAAGCAGCAACACTGCGGCTGCGCGTTGAATACTAGGCTCCGGCCCGGAAGGGGTTAAGAGGGCCCGGAGCCGCTGCGGCTGCGCACTGCGGCGGGGGAGCTGTCCGCGGTGCTGGCCGTCGTGCGCCCCGCCCCGCGGCCCGGCCGGCCCGCCCCCACTGCGGTGCCGCAGCAACACTGCTCGCCCAGCTCGGAGGGGGCGGGGAAGAACTAGGCATGCGCTCTGCGGAAGCCTCTGGCCTCTTAAACCACTGCAGAGAAGTGAAGGTGGGGGTGGGGGTAGGGGTGGGGGGAGTGCAGAGAGGACCTGCGCTGGCCCCCAGCTCACCCCAAGGTCCAGGGTCCTCTCTGGCCCTGAAACTCCCCAACCCCTACTTCCTAGCTCTGCACCTCAGTAAAGTCAAGCCCAGAGCCCACGCCCCAACCCCTGTGGAGGAAGGTGGGTGCACAGAGGGACACTGCTGACCTTTGGCCCACCACAAAGTCCAAGGTCCTCTGTGTGGTCCGACAGTGGCCTCTCTGTGCTCTGCACCTCTGATTAGATGCAGAGCTCCCCATGCCCTCCCCTCCTGCACTACTCATAGGATTAAATCCTTCTCTTTACTATAACACCTGTCTTCCTTCCCTCTCCAATGCACTCCTCTCCCCTCCCACCCCTCTGCGTATCTGATAAAGCCCACGACATTTCTAGGGGCCTGGTTCATTGCTTTCCTTCCCCAAGACCCTGACCCCACTCCCTCCTCTTCTAGGCCTTCATCAAAACCCCCATCACTGTGTGGCAGGACTCTGGTCATCCCCCATCTTGAAATGGCTCAGGGCCCTTCACCCTTCATCCTCTGCACCTTTGGCAAATGCCCAAACCTCTCTTTGGCCCTGGCTCTGCCCTCTCCCACAAAGTTCAGACCAGTGACTCTCCCTTCCGCTGCAGGGCCCTAAACCCTGCCTGACTCTCCTCTTCCCTTTTTGCAGGCTTTTAACCCTTCAACCCCTTCTCCCCTTAGGGGCCCTGACCCCCTGATCCCCTCTGTGGCACCACCCCTGCCCTGTGCTCTCTGGGTGAGGCCTTGACCTTACCCTCCAATTAACTGCTGTCTCCATACCCTAACAACAGCTCAGATCTTCTAACTGTGTTCCAGGCACTGCTCCAAGCTCTGTGTTTGGAGCCAAGTCCTTATGCTCATCTAATTTAACCCTCACAACAGTCCCACTAACAACTTCTGGTTCACAAAGCTCAATCTCTTTGCCCAATTTTGACAGGTTAAAAGCCAGATTCAAACCAGGCTCTCTGACTCTTAACCACCTCATGATTCTGCCTCCCTGCCCACCTTCTCCCTTTCCCCTGCACTCAACTCCAAGTTGAGCCCCAAAGCCTCTGGGACACACAGGGTGTGTGATCTTAGACCCCGTGGCTCCCATCCTACAGAACCTGTGGACCCTGCTGGGGAGCCCTGAAATAGGACACAGGAAACAGGAGGTTGGGGGGAGGTGGTCTAGGAAACAGCAAGGGGCCAGAAATGTTTCCAAGGAAAGAAGCTGCCCATCTGCTGTGTCTGCTGGGGCCAGCTCTTTCCCAACTGCCTCTGTTCCTTTCTCTTCCTTTTTGCTAGTTGTAGAGGGGAGATTCTATCTAGATCTAAAATCTCCAGATCTAGGTGGGATTCTGGAATTCATGGAGCCATAGGTGGGACACCTGGATTTTACCCAGAGTTTGGGCGCAGGAGGCTGGGGAGGGGGCATCGGAAGGGTCTTCTGGAGGTTATGGTCAACCTGATGCCTAGATCACCTCTCCCTCTCTCTCCTTTCCTGCCCTGCAGTATGTGGCCTTTGCCTCCCTCTTCTTCATCCTCATCTCCATCACCACCTTCTGCCTGGAAACCCATGAGGGCTTCATCCATATCAGCAACAAGACGGTGACCCAGGCCTCCCCGATCCCCGGGGCGCCGCCAGAGAACATCACCAACGTGGAGGTGGAGACGGAGCCATTCCTGACCTACGTGGAGGGAGTGTGCGTGGTCTGGTTCACCTTCGAGTTCCTCATGCGCATCACCTTCTGCCCAGACAAGGTGGAGTTTCTGAAAAGCAGCCTCAACATCATCGACTGTGTGGCCATCCTGCCCTTCTATCTTGAGGTGGGCCTCTCGGGCCTCAGCTCTAAGGCCGCCAAAGACGTGCTGGGCTTCCTGCGGGTGGTCCGCTTCGTCCGCATCCTGCGCATCTTCAAGCTGACCCGGCACTTCGTGGGGCTGCGTGTGCTGGGACACACGCTCCGTGCCAGCACCAACGAGTTTCTGCTGCTCATCATCTTCCTGGCCTTGGGGGTGCTCATCTTCGCCACCATGATTTACTACGCGGAGCGCATTGGCGCTGACCCCGATGACATCCTGGGCTCCAACCACACCTACTTCAAGAACATCCCCATTGGCTTCTGGTGGGCTGTGGTCACCATGACGACCCTGGGCTATGGAGACATGTACCCCAAGACGTGGTCGGGGATGCTGGTCGGGGCACTGTGTGCCCTGGCGGGGGTGCTGACCATCGCCATGCCCGTGCCCGTCATTGTCAACAACTTTGGCATGTACTATTCGCTGGCCATGGCCAAGCAGAAGCTGCCCAAGAAGAAGAACAAACATATCCCCCGCCCCCCGCAGCCGGGCTCACCCAACTACTGCAAGCCTGACCCACCCCCGCCACCCCCGCCCCACCCGAACCACGGCAGCGGGGGCATCAGCCCGCCGCCACCCATCACCCCGCCCTCCATGGGGGTGACTGTGGCCGGGGCCTACCCAGCGGGGCCCCACACGCACCCCGGGCTGCTCAGGGGGGGAGCGGGTGGGCTGGGGATCACGGGGCTGCCTCCTCTGCCGGCCCCTGGCGAGCCTTGCCCGTTGGCTCAGGAGGAGGTGATTGAGATCAACCGGGCAGGTGAGCCTGGGGGTCAGGGGTGGGGGGCACCGGTGGAGACCCGGGGAGGAGTGGGGAGGTAGCTGCCGAGGTTCAGGGAGCCTCGAGTGGTCAGCATTGAAGATACGAGGGAGCAAAAACCAATAGCAGGAGCTCAGGCCAAGAAGGAGGCACAGATAGTCACACAGAGACATAGGTTTCATGGGAAGGAGTTTTGGGGAGAAAGAGATTTGCAAGGTATTCAGAGGGGCCCACGAGGCAGAGGCAGCATCATCAGCTGTACAGTGAGAGGGACCCGGAGAAGGAGAGTGGGGCTCACAGAGAGACACAGAGAGGGTCTCGCACAAATCACAGGCAGGCCGGAGACAGAGCCCCAGGGACGGTGCGGAGCATTCAGCAGCAGCCCTTAGGGAAGAGAGGCTGAAGGAGATAGGGTCTGCAGAGATTGTCATGGAGACAAGAGAAAGAGATGGGATGCAGATTTTTGACGGGGGTGGGGGCCATCAGCGGCCCAGAGCTTGGGTTCTAATGACAGCGAGCCTGAGGTGGACAGACTTCAGAACAGAGATTCAGGCCAGGGCAGAGCCCCAGGGCAGAATGGAAACCAGGGCCTGGCCAGTGCGGGCAGCCTGGGAAGGTCCTGGAGAGAAGTCCAGAGAGGTGTTGCTCAGAGGAAGGGGGAGAGCGATGAGGGGAGAAGAAAGCTGCCTGAGCCTCTGTGTGTGTTCCTCCCCCTGGGAGAGTCTGTGCCTCAGAAGCAGTGGCCTGGGAGTCTGGGAGGAGGGAGAGGCTGGTGGCCCCCCTGCATCGCCCCGCCTTAAATAGGTCAAGAAAGGGAGCTGGGCCACCTGGCCCCCATCTTGCTCCCTCAGCCGCTGACCCAGTTTCACACCAATTAAAAATAGCTGGAGTCAGAGCCTAGGGGACCCTCACCTCCCATCTCTCACCTTCCCCATAGTGCCCTTCCCAGAGCCCAGCACTCCTCCCTCAACAGCCGCGTCCTAGCCCGCCACATCCTCCCCAGCCATCCCTCCACCTCCTACTCCTACCCGCCAAGTCCCCCAAAGTTCGCTCCAGCCAACCAGCCCGCAACATTGCCTGACCCTCTTCCCAGCACCCAACTTGCTTCATCCCCAACTGTCTCTTTTTTTTCCCTCCCCCACTCCACCCCAGAGACGGAGTCTCGCTGTCTTCTCCCAGGCTGGAGTGCAGTGGCACTATCTCGGCTCACTGCAGCCCCTGCCTCCCAGGTTCAGGCAGTCCTCCTGCCTCAGCCTCCCAAGTAGTTGGGACTACAGGTGCATGCCACCATGCCTGGCTAATTTTTGTATTTTTGGTAGAGACAGGGTTTTACCATGTCAGTCAGGCTGGTCTCGAACTCCCGAGCTCAAGTGATCCGCTGGCCTCAGTCTTCCAAAGCAGTAAGATTACACGCACGAGCCACCGCGTCTAGCACCTTTTTCCTTTTCTTTTTTTTCTTTTTTTTGGGGGACGGAGTTTCGCTCTTGTTACCCAGGCTGGAGTGCAATGGTGCGATCTCGGCTCACCGCAACCTCCGCCTCCCGGGTTCAGGCAATTCTCCTGCCTCAGCCTCCCGAGTAGCTGGGACTACAGGCACGCACCACCATGCCCTGCTAATTTTTTGTAGTTTTAGTAGAGACGGGGTTTCACCATGTTGACCAGGATGGTCTCGATCTCTTGACCTCGTGATCCACCCGCCTCGGCCTCCCAAAGTGCTGGGATTACAGGCTTGAGCCACCGCGCCCGGCCCTCCTTTTCTTTTCTTTATTTATTTATTTATTTTTAGACAGGGTCTCACTCTATCACCTAGGCTGGAGCTGTGGTGCCACATGACTCACTGCAGGCTGACCTCCCAGGTTGAAGCGATCCTCCTGCCTCAGTCTCCCGAGTAGCTGAGACTACAGGCATGCACCACTGTACCCGGCTAATTTTTCTACCTTTTGTAGAGATGGGATTTTTTTTTTTCTTTTTTTTCCTGTCAGCTTCATCAGGTTGAAATAGAGACGGGATTTTATGTTGCCAGAGCTGTTCTCGAACTCATGGCCTCAAGCAGTCCTCCCACTTCAGTCTCCCAAATTCCTGGGATTGCATGCATGAGCCACTGTGCCCAGCTCCAGATCATATCTTTAAACAGCACTGCACCCCAGTCCTGCTCTTCCTGGTACCCCACATCTGGTACCACCACCACCACGTCCCAGCTCTCAGTACCTCCCCGCGCCACCAGCCTCTGTCCACCTCCCTGTCTAGACCACCCTTCCCAACAACAATCGACCTTCCCAGCACTCAACACCCTCGCCTATGATGACCCCCCAGCTGTGCCCCCTTGATACCCTCTCCCAGCTGTGCCCCCCCCCGCCACTGTCCTGGCCACTCCTTATCACCCTGCCGCTGAAGCTCCACTGCCAGCGCCGAACATCCTCCCGCGCTCCCCGCATCAGCTCCTTGCAGACCATCTTGCCCCTCCACGTATTCACCGCATCTCACTCTCGCCTTTGTCTCTGACACCCTTGGGAGCAGATCCTCGCCCCAATGGGGATCCGGCAGCAGCTGCGCTTGCCCACGAGGACTGCCCAGCCATTGACCAGCCCGCCATGTCCCCAGAGGATAAGAGCCCCATCACGCCTGGAAGCCGTGGCCGCTACAGCCGGGACCGAGCCTGCTTCCTCCTCACCGACTATGCCCCTTCCCCTGATGGCTCCATCCGAAAAGGTGAGATGTCCCCCCACTGGCTCCCCGGGACCCTCCCTCTCTCTCCCCTGCCCAGAGGAGGGAGGAGAGGGTGATAGGGGAGGAGGCGCTGGACTTCCCTTCCCCCTTCCCTTGGCCCCAAACCGCCTCCCTCCCAGATCTTCCCCATACCCCCGCCCCAAGTTTCCTCACCACTGACCCTTCACCTGTCTTTATTCCATGTCCATTCCCCCGAACCCTCTGGCCTCTTCCCCCAACCCCAGCCACTGGTGCTCCCCCACTGCCCCCCCAAGACTGGCGTAAGCCAGGCCCCCCAAGCTTCTTGCCCGATCTCAACGCCAACGCCGCTGCCTGGATATCCCCCTAGTGGACGAACCCCCTCCCCCCGGGGTAAGTAGTCCCCCTCCTGTGATCCCCCCACTCCCAGACTCCCCACTCCTGCCTGACTAACCCCTCTGAGAACATGCAGCCCCACTGACCGAGACTCCGGCCCCATCATTGCAAACAGCTGTACCCACTTAACCTCCAGCTCTTGACACTGACCCCACACCCACCTACCCAGGACTCACCCTGCTCCTCACTAACCCCCGAACTAACCCAACCCTGCCTCCCACACTGCGCCTGCCCTCACGACTGACCCCATCCTCACCCCCATCAACATCTCTGTCTCCCTCCTTGGCCCTAGGGTTTTTAAAAATTCATTCAGGAAAGCAGGGGGCATGCCCAGAACACTTCTGGGTGCAGGATGGGAAGAGAAAGGTTCAGCCACCCGTCCATTGCCCCGTGAATTCAGCCAGTGCTTAGACAGCACCCACGTGCCCCAGGTGCTGGCCATGGGGAGTTCAACTGTGAACAAAATCCAGTACCCCAGGAGCTTCCACTTTGGAGCAGGAGGCAGACACGGACCTAGAAAGTCGTTTGAGGAGATACATGCTAAAACAGAGGGAGCACAGGCAGTAAGAGGAACCCTAGAAACTCCCAGGGGATGGGGGTGGGCATCAGGGAAGAGTCGATATCTGCAGTGGGACCCTAAGGTTGACCAGGAGTCCTGGCCACACGCAGAAGAAGTGATCCCATCCAGGAATGGTCAGAGGGAACTGCAGGACAGCACCTAGGAGACTAGACCCTGGAGGGAGAGGGATCCTCAGGTGAGATGAAGCCAGGACCAGGCCGAGAGGCTGCAGCCTTGTCTAGGGGGCTGGGGAGGAGGCAGGTGAGCTGGGAGGGGCAGCTCTGGGGTCTTGTGAGGATGGACGGGAGGTGGGAGGCTGGAAGTCAGGAGGCTGCAGAAGAGGCTGAGGCGACAGGTGGAAGCCTAAGCGGAGGCCAGGGATGTGGGGATGGAGAGGAAGGGATGAGGCAGAGAGAGTCGGGGGTCAGGGAAGAGGAGGGACAGGCCAGGGGCTGCTGGCCATGCAGAAGTGAGGGGGTGTTATTTAGTAGATGAATCATTCAGCAAACATCACTAAGTACTTATACCACATGCTAGGAATTTAACATATATTCTTTCATCCTCGTAACAACCTGAGCCAACTCCTAGCTTCTTTCATTCATGTATTCAATCCATTAATTCAGTTTTGGCAACTGATTCTTTTCCTTTTTTTGAGACAGAGCCTTGCTGTGTCACCCAGGCGGGAGTGCAAAGGCACAATCTCGGCTCACTGCAATGCAACCTCCACCTCCCGAGTTCAAGCGATGGAGTCTCGCTATGTTGGCCAGGTTGGTCTTGAACTCCTGTGCTCAAGCGATCCTCCTGCCTTGGCCTCCCAAAGTGCTAGGATTACAGGCATGAGCCACCACCCCTGGCCACAACTGATTCTTGAGAACATAATTCCAGGCACTGTAGATTTGGGATTAAACAAATCATGAATCTGCCATTATGGTTTACAATCTAGAGCAGGGATCAGCAGACTAACTCCAGTCTGAGGACCTGATCTTTCAGCTGTCTGTTTTTGTAAATAAAGCTTTACTGGAACACAACCATGCTGAGCCACAACAGCAGAGTGGAATAATTGGGACAGAGACTATATAACCCCCATAGCCAAAGAGATTTACTATCTGGCCTTTTACAGGAAAAGTTTCCAGTCTCTCATAGGAGGAAGCAGAAAATAAGCAATTGAGGCTGGGTGCAGTGGCTCATGCCTGTAATCTCAGCACTTTAGGAGGCAGAGGTGGGCAGATCACTTGAGGTCAGGAGTTCGAGACCAGCCTGGCCAACATGGTGAAAACCCATCGCTACTAAAAATACAAAAATTAGCCGGGCGTGGTGGTGGGCACCTGTAGTCCCAGCTACTCAGGAGGCTGAAGCGGGAGAATCGCTTGAACCCAGGAGGCAGAAGAAGTTGCAGTGAGCTGAGATTGTGCCACTGCACACTAGCCTGGGCGACAGACAGTGAGAGTCCCCTAAAAAAAAAAGAAAAGAAAAAGGATGGAAGGGCAAAAGCAATTAAGATAAAGGTAAAAGAACAAGATTATTAGTCTGGCCACTTCAGTTAAAGAGGTCTGGCTGGGCACAGTGGCTGCCACCTATAACTCCAGCACTTTGGGAGGCCAAATTGGGAGTAACCTAGGAATTTGAGACCAGCCTGGGCAACTTAGCAATACCTATTTCCTAAAAAAACAAATAACAACAAAAAAACTTAGATGTGGTGGTGCATGCCTGTAGACCCAGCTATTTGGGAGGCTGAGGTGAAGGACTGTCTGAGCGCAGGGATTTGAGAGGCTGCACTGAGCCATGATTGTGCCACGGTGCTCTAGCCTGGGGGGACAGAGTGGGACCCTGCCTCTGGGGAAAGAAAGAAGTTCTGCCAAGGACTTTTTGAGGAGGTGACACAGAACCTCAAGGGTGAAAAGGGCCAGGCAGGCGGATAGGCCCTGAGCTGCCTGGGGTGAGGGGAAGAGCGTGGCTTGTTAAAGGGACAGCAAGGAGCTCAGTGAGGCTGATCCCAGTGGCCAAGGGGAGAGGGCTGCCGAAGTTGGGGAGAAAGATCAGGATGGGTTCTGTGGCCATAGTCAGGAGGCAGGACTTTATTTTAAATGTGAATGGAAGCCACATGAAGGTTTGTGGTCCACGCTTTCATTCAACAACCAGCTGTGGAATCGTTTCTAGAAATGCAGATGCATCCTCAAGAACGCCTGCCCACAGCCTAGGGAGATGCCCTGGGGGAACTTGGGGAGCTTCCAGGGATGGCATCATCTAAAGCCCTGTGTTTCACCGCAGTTCAGGGAGGGCCATGGCCAACCCACCACCCCAGGCCACAGAGCACGCTGGGCGAGAGCCCGGCTTCCCACTCCTAGTCCAGAGCGGGGACTGTCTGGCTCCTCTTGCTTCCATCCCCGCCACCTCTCCTTTTTACAGCCCCCCCATTGTCCATTTCCATCTCATCCCCTCACTCCCCTGCCTGCTCCTATCTAACCCCTCCCTGCTTGCACCCACTCCCAGTCCTTTACCTTCCTCTGTTCCCCACCCCCAGGTCTGGGAGGGCCCCTGTGGGATTGAGGGGAAGAGGGCGTGGGGAGGGTGTGGGCCTACGAGTGAGGGAGGATTGGGGTTGGGGTGGTTGGGTGGGGGAGGTCCCTGCTTCTCTTGCCTATGATGCCAGAATCCATTCATTGAACTCAAATCATGGCTGGAGCTGATGGGGTCGGCTGAAGCGTCTCCTCCTGTGCCCTGGGTCCTTCCCCCTCCATCTGTCCCCAAGCCTCTTCCTTGCTCTTCCACAACCCCCGCTCCCACAAGACCCCTTTGGCCTATTCCCCCCATGCTCCATCCCCCAAGAGTCTCTCCCACTGCGACCTTCCCTTCCCAATGGTTTTGTTTTTGAGATGGGGTCTTGCTCTGTCGCCCCGGCTGGAGTGCAGTGGCTCGATCTCGGCTCACTGCGGCCTCTGCCTCCTGGGTTCGAGCGATTCTCCTGCCTTCGCCTCCTGAATGGCTGGAATTACACGTGCTCGCCACCATGCCCTGCTAATTTTTGTATTTTTAGTAGGGACGGGGGTTTTGCCATCTTGGCCAGACTGGTCTCAAACTCCTGGATTCAGGTGCTCCCCCTGCCTCAGCCTCCCAGAGTGCTGGGATTACAGGTGTGAGCCGCCACGCTGTCTTCTTCCCTCTCTATTGTCCACTATGGTCCTCCCAAGACCCTCCTTACCTCTAAGCCTGTCGTCCACCCATGCTCCTCCCTCCTACATCTGCACTCACCTGATCACTGGCTCCCACTCCTCCCTCCCCCCCCACACTCTCTCCCCTCTCCCTCCCCTAGCCACCCCGGAAGCTCCCTCCATATTTGATGTCTCAGCCGCCCCCCATTTCACTGCTCCCCTTCCCTGGAAAACACCTGAGAGGAGGAATAGATGCCGGGAGTTTCTCCATCCCCCCAACAGTGAGGCTGTGTTGGGGGGTTTCCCCTGACCATCCTCCCTCCCCGCCATGACTCTGTGTATTTCTGTCCCCAGCTCTTGTCACCGCCTGAGACCTCGCGAGACCCTCGGTCCCCCCCTGCCCCTTCCCCCCAGGTTAGCAATTGGGAATGGCTGGGTGGGGGTGTTCCCAAGACCCTGGGCTTCAAATCTCCCCGCAAGCCCTCTCTCCTACGGTCAAGACACCTTGGTCCAGACAGTTCCCTTAGCGTGGCCTGGAAAAGCCACAAAACTCCCTGTGGGGGCTGCAGAACCGTGCTAGCAGCCCTGAGCTTTGTAGAAAACACACACACTGCTGCTGGATCTTGAGTCCCATTAGCTATAAGATGCCGTGAGAGCCTTCCGCACCCATCAGAAGCTTAGAGCCTTCTTGGACCCTTTAAAGTGGTCTCTCTCCCCAGACCTCCCCCGTCCTCCCCCCCCTCACCCCCCCCTTAGAATCTTTCGGAGGAGCCTCCTTCTCCCTACCCCCCACTGCTCTTGGAGTTCTCCTCTGATTCCCCAAGGGCACTGCCAGCTTCACTCCACTCAGCCCCTCGCAGACCCCACCCCCTGCCTGCCCTCTTTCCCTAAAACTAGGTCAGCCCCCAGCCCCGCCTCGGTCACACCGTTCCCTGCCCTCTCTGCTGGCTGCTCCCACGTGCATTCCACGCAGCCCCTCCCCACGCCCCTGCCGCCCACCATCCCGCCGTGCTGCCCCCCACCTTTTGCCTCAGTTGAGGGGACCAATGGAGAAGGGAAGGGGGGCGGACTGCGGTGGGGTTGGGGCGGGGGAGGCTCGGTGGGCACCAACCTGCCTCCTAATCCAGAGTCTCTCCCCCTCCCCGATGTCTCCACCTTTCTCGTCGATGTTGACTGACTCCCCGATTTGTTCACTTTCTCTCTCCATCTCCTTGGTCCACCTCTGTCCATCTTTGTCTCTTGTCATCTGTCCTCTCTTGTCTCTGTCTGCCTGTCTCTCTGTCTCTTACCTTCTCTCTCTTGCCTTGTCTCTGGGTCTCTCTTGTCCTCTCCATCCATTTCTCTGTCTGTCTCTTTCTCCCTGCCTTGGGTCTCTCTGTTGGACCCTTCCCTGCACCCCCATCTTTGTGCGTCCCCCCTGTTCCTCACACCTCCCCACCCCCCAGGTTACGAGAAATCCCGCAGCCTGAGCAGCATCGCGGGCCTGAGCGGGGTGTCCCTACGTCTTGCGCCCCTTGCCACCCCCCCTGGCTCTCCCCGGGCCGCCCGCCGCGCGCCCCCGACCCTGCCCTCCATCCTCTAGCGCTCCCCTCCCCCCTGTGGGGGGACTCGGGGGTGACCGGGAAGAAGGTCAAAGGAGCTGGGGGTGGGGGGTGGGGAAAAGGGTTTTTTAAAAAAAATCAAAAAGTCATTAATAATATGCAACCGAGATGACGATGCCAGCAGACACCCCCGGGCCCCTCACCCCCAACCTGGGCCCCACCAGGATGGAGAGAGGGGCCACAGCCTGTCCCCCCGACTCTTCCCCCCAAAAAAAAGCCTTCTCAGGTCTCCATGAGCCATAGGACATACCCCTCCCATCAACTTGTGTAAATAGGTCCAAATTAAGCCAGTTACATCTTGGGGCACCTCCCCCACACACTGCATGCCTTCCCTAACCTGGAGCCCCCCACTCCAAGTCCACCTCAGCAATAAGCCGCCAGGGGCTGCATGTGTGGGTTTGAGGGGCAGGCACTCTGGGAAGGGGGCTGGCACCTCCCAGGGGTGGGGCTGGCCTTTCAGGTCTCCAGCCTTCCATCCTTCACCCCAGGAGGACCACCAACCCTGTGTGTTAATTAGGGGAAAACAAACCAAAAACTAGAAGCAACAGAGGGGAAGGAGGAACAGTTACCCAAGCCCCAAATCGGAGTTGAGCTCAGATGCGGGAGGCGGGGCAGGCTTCGGACCTGCTCCCTCAGCCTTTAGGAGGATTCCTCTGGTGAATTTCACCCTCTCATCTGCCCCTTCCCCCCAGGACCTGCTCGCCTCTATTCTTGCTGCATGGACTCAGACCTCCTATCCCAGGATTCCTGGGATGATCTGGCCCTAGCACACGAAATTCCTCAACTATCCCCCTCCATTCCCAGGACATGAGACCTGCACCCAGAATTCTGAGACTGACCCTGGCACCCCACATTCCCCAATCCCCACACGCTCCTGCAACTTAACCTCTGCACACAGAGGCTCCCCGAATCGCCCTCCCCCCACACTCCCGCCACCCCAAACACCCTCACCAAATTCCCTGAGCTGCATCCCAGCACTTCTCAAACCTCCAAGACTTGACCCAGCTCTTTTCAGCTCAAATTCAGCCTTTGGGATGCTCCAAAATCTTCCCACAACTGACATTTCCTGGACACCCCCAAATCCTCAGGCCTGCCCCCCCATCCCCAAAGCCCTAACAGACTTGTCCAGCCCAGGTTCCCTGGACGCTAGAACTTCCAAGACAGGCCAGCCTGTCTGCAATTCCAGGGAACCAGACCCTCCCCAGGCACCCTCTTCGTCCTACGCCTGACCCTGAGTCCCTTCCCTGAGACGGTGCCCCAAAGGTACCTTCTTCACGGACGCCAGTGTTTCCCAGAGGGTCGTGTTTGTACCCTTGGTGGTGTGCTAACGTTTTAGGCAGTTCAAGGACAAACACTTGTTTGAAAAGTTTGTTTCTAATGTGCACATTTTGTACAGAAGCCGGTAAGTGCAGGCATCGCTGCCTGGCTCGAACACGGTTTATTTAGGTTAAGAGTGTTTCCATTTAAAGTAGTGCACAAATGATCACCGAGGCTGTTCCCCAAGGGAAAGACACTGAAATATCAGAAGACTGGGAACCGACAACATACCCAACTCGGCTGGGATCCCAGCCCGCGTTCCCCATTGGTCCTCGCCGCGTCGCGCTCGCGGGTGGAAAACCATTTCCCACCTCCCATCCTGGCTCAAGGATGCGCTACCTCCCCCAAGCCCAGAGACCACGCCGGTCCCAGACTCCTTAGCGGATCTCCTTTTTGGAGCCAGGGGCCCATGGAATTAGCAACCTCCCTCCCTCTGCTCCCACGGCCTCAGGAACCCCCCACCCGAGGGTGGATGGGGGGCGTCACTGAGCACGATTCTCGATGCAACGATTCCTATGCAAGGGGCATTTTGAGTCCCCCCCATCCTTCCCTCGGACCCTAAACCCTGGTGAATCAGGGGTGAGGGGTGGGGCGGGTTTTGGTGGGGGCGGGGCAAAGGGCTAGGGGCTCCAGACACCAGGGTACGGGGTGGGGAGTGATTATATTGCCAAAGGGTTCAACTTCTTTAACAAGCCCCCTCCCCCGTTTCCCCTGACCTTCATGAAAGCCGAAGGGGGCGGGGAAAGGGGGTGAGGGTCTTTTCCAAAGGGTACTGACCTCTTCCCAGCGTCTCCCCCTGCTCGCCAATCCGCCACACGTACCCAGCTTTTTAGTTCAGCTTTTCGAAATAACCACAATCATGATAAACTACGAAACGTGATTCTCCTCCCCTCCCACCCCATCCCCCAAGACAACAGTGTGGGATTCGGGGAGGGAGAACGAGCGAGCTAAAGGGACTGTTTCCAAGTCCTGCTCCCCCTTTTCCCCCCGGCCGCCAGGGTGCCTGCACTTACACGCATGCGCTGCATGACGCGCCCCCCACACGCATGTCGCACCCCTCCTGCGCTCCGGGAACGCACGGACACGGGCCAGGGGGCGGGGCGATTGGGGAGGAATGAATGGCGGGGGGTCTTCCTGAGCTCCGAGCTCCGCGGCTCACCCTCCCCAACACACACACACAGCAATAAGTTTCTCTCACTCAAATGTGGGCGGGGCGGGCCCAGCCTGTCGCTGGGTGGGGGGGAGTGGCGAGGGGGCGCTCTCAGGGATGGGGGCGGGGTTTGGAGTCAGTGTGGGGAGGGGAGGTCTGCAAAACGTCCAACTTTGGTGCTAATGGCGGGTCTTCTCAGCCCACCTGCAGGGCAGGGAGGAAGGGGTCGGCACGGCCCCTTCCCCAAGCCTCCCCCACGCCCACCCTGGGTGCATGAACCGCCCAATGCAGAAGCTGCCGCATGTCACCCCCGTCTCCCCAAAGAAAAAGTGTCATGCCCCCTTCCCACCCACCCTCACTCCCCGCCAAAATAAAAGTTCCTTTTCATTTAAAAATTGCCTCCCGTGTGCCTGCTGGGAAAGTGTCCTGATTGCTGCTGGGGCGCACAGAGGGATTGGGACTTGAGAGTGGTGCCCTATTGCTGGGCACGGTGGCTCAGGCCAGTAATCCCAGCATTTTGGGAGGCCAAGGATGCAGGAAGATTGCTTGAGGCCAGGAGTTCAAGACCAGCCTGGGCAACAGAGACAGACCCTGTCTTTACAAAAAATAAGATAAAATTAGCCAGGTGTGGTGGCATCTGTAGTCCCGGGTACTCAGGAGGCTGAGGTGAGAGAATCGCTTGAGCCCGGGAGGTTGAGGCTGTCGTGAACCATGACTGTGCCACTGCACTCCAGCCTGGGTGACAGAGTGAGACCCTATCTCAGTTTTTTTAAAAAAGGGGAGGATGGGCTTTGATGGTCCTGATATCCTCTCAATGACTTGCACCTTATTTAGGGCAAGCACCTGCTTCAGTTTCCCTGATGGTAAAAATGGAGATCAACACCTCTAACTGAAAAGTCACTGAGGGCTGGGCATGGTGGCTCAAGCCTGTAATCCCAGCACTCTGGGAGACTGAGGAGGTTGGATCGCCTGAGGTCAGGAGTTCGAGACCAACCTGGCCAACACGGTGAAACCCTGACTCCACTAAAAATACAGAAATTAGCTGGACGAGGTGGCAGGTGCCTGTAATCCCAGCTATTTGGGAGGCTGAGGCAGGATAATCACCTGAATCCAGGAAGCAGAGTTTGCAGTGAGCCGAGATGGTGCCACTGCACTCCAGCCCGGGGACAGAGTGAGACTCCATCTCAAAAAAAAAAAAAAAAAGTCGCTGAGGACTCAGTCTGAGTAACATGAGCCCCTACACGAGGGTGTCTAGTTCCGGGGGGAGGGGGGCGGGATAGACCTGGGTCCCCAGGGTGGGGTCAGGGGCTGAGGGCTCAGGCTCCATATGTGCTGACTCTGAGGCCAGACTGTCCAGGTTCAAACTGTTTCAACTTCTTAGTAGCTGTGTGTCCCTGGGCAAGTTATTCAGCCTCTCTGAGCCTGTTCCCACCACTCTTAAAGAGTGGGAGGGGCGTCACTTAGTCATTCAGCGAATATTGAACGAACGCCTGCTGCGTGACAGGCACTGTTCTAGGCACGCGTGCAGTGAAATCTCTACCTGCAGCGCCGTGCTAAGGGTCACGACAAACGTGGCATGCTCAACACGGCACCCAGCACAAACAACCATGGCTGTCCTTTTGTTTGGTTTTGCTTTTGAAACAGGATCTCACTCACCCCCATGCTACCGTGCGGTGGTGCAATCATAGCTCACGGCAGCCTCCACTCCTGGGCTCAGGTGATCCTCCCACTTCAGCCTCCCAAAGCACCGGGATCGCAGGTGTGAGCCACTGCAGCAAGCCTGTCACTTATTCTGCAAACACTTGAGAGCTGGCCCAAGTTCAACAGTGCTTCTGGCAGTCCCTGGGGCGTGGCGTGTGGGATGCTGCGCTCGGACTGTTCCCTCATCTGTCCAGTGGAGGGAATGTTTCCATTGTACACCAGGGTGAGGAGGAAAGGAGTTAGGAAGTGCCTGGTCCACAGGAGGCCCCTGTCCACCCATGCACTGTGATTGAAACCCGCAGGCTGCCTGACCTGCTGCCCCAGCGCTCTGAAGCAGCGCGTGCCCATCTTGCCCATCAGAGGCCCCCTGCAGGAACACACAGCCACACAGATGGTCCAGTCCGCGGCTGGAGTTTATTTCTGCCAGAGCCTGGAGGCTGGGAGGGTAAAGGACACTCCTTCAGCCCCGGAGGGAAGCCCCAAACCGTCAGAGCAACCAGAAGGGAGGGCAGAGCATGGGCAGCAGCAGAAGTGAGAGGGGTCCCCTCGTCCTGCCCCTTTGTGAGGGTTTGGCTGGTGGAGGCCTGGGGCTTCTGACACTCAGGAGTTCAGGGGTGGAGGCAGAAATGGGGGAAGGAGAGCGGCTACACAGAGAGAAGTGAGAGCGGGACTCCTAGTAAGATGCGCAGAGAGACCCTCAGAGAGGCCAAGAAAGATGGTGAGAGAGGAGGGAGGGAGAGGGAGAGAGAGAAGCGGAGGGAACAGGGAGCACTGGCTGAGGCGGTGGGGGAGCCGTCTGGCTCCCTTCCTAACACCTATAGATCAATAACGAGGGAAGAAAGGTGGACAGGGAGCTGATGGGAACCAGCTTGCCAACTGCGCCGTCTCCTCCCAAGCAAGAGAGCTCCAGTCCTTGCCACCCCGCCTGCCCCGCTCCTCTGTGTTTAGGGGTCATCCTTTGATAGAGGTTGCAGGGGGTCCCAGGTGGGGGTGACAAATGCCAGAGTGTGGCACTGTTTCCAAAGGACAGGAAGACAAAGGGCAGGGTTCCTGGGACAGGGGCCCGTGGAGGCCAGGGAGGAAGGGGGCTGTGCCCCATCTGTTAGTGCATCTGGGGACAGGGTAGGGTCACTGGGGGTGGGCGGATGGGGACCCCTCCGGCTCCGGGGACGGCCCAGACCCAGGCTCTGCTTCCTCCGCCTCCTCGTCGGATGCCACGCCCTCCTCTAGTCGGAAGACCTGCCGCACCGTGCGGGTGGTGAAGGTGAGGGGGCCGCGTCTGTGGAGGGGAGAGACCGGGACAGAGATGAAATGAGAGGAGAGAGAGAGAACAAAATGAGGGGAAGACAGAGGTGAGGTCGGGAGAAATGGAGGGAGACGGGCAGACGCGATGGGGGCAGAGAGATGAGGGACACAGAGGGAGGAGGGATGGACAGAAAGATGGTGGTGCGTGCTGGGAAAGGAGGCACACAGGTGAGACAGGGAGAAGGGTGTGGGAAGAAGGAAGTTCCCTGGATGTGGCTATCCCCAGCACAGCCCCTGTTCCCACAGCCCCACTCTCCGTGGATCCCGTTTCCCGTC